ATCCGTAAAAGACACATCTGCTGTTTTTGTCTGAAAAAAAAATCCGAAAAAAAAAAAAAAAAAAAAAAAAGAAACTGAACCCGAAACCAAAATGGGGAAAAATGCTTTTGAGGAAGGTGTATTCTTTACATAACAGTCTTAAGTTTCCTCCACAGTTTGCAGCATTGCGTTTTTGAAGGTGTAGGTGGTTTTCCTTTATGTCACATAAGCTTATATCACAGATGCTCCACTCAGAAGACAGACTGATAAAGAGAAACCCAAAAAACTGAATAAAATAAAAACAACTGAAGTGAGTTTGTTGAGGTTCTGAGGTACCTGCACCTTTTCTGCATTCATTAGTCGGCACCTGAATGCTTGCTGAAATGTCCATTTTTTTAATACAGTAGAGCAATGTGCTGGTAAAATTGATCCAATCCAAAAAAATAATAATAATAATAATAACAATAATAATAAAAAGTCAAGATAAAATAGCAGCTGCATTCATGGGTTTGTTGAATTTTTGTGGTTTTCTTTTTTTTTGTATGTTTTTTTTTAAACTTTTTCCTTGTTGGTTTTTTTTTTTGTTTGTTTGTTTGTTTTTAAATCCACTGAGTCTGGAAAGACAAAAGTGAACCAGGACCCAGGACTCAGATACTAGACTCTTTGGGTGGCAAGTCCACGTTGGTGACAGATGTCACGATGGAGACGAGGCAGTCCGAGGTAGTGCCGTTGACGGATTTGCGGATCTGCGCGATGCGCTCCTCGACACAGCCCGCCGAGAGCCGCGCCTCCGCGTCGTGGTCCCAGCACTCTTCGATGGTCACGCACAGCTGCGCCAGGCCCTGCGGACAGCAACGGGGAGAAAACACCTTCAGCAACGTCACCTGCTCTGCCTGGTGCCAAAATGATTTGTGCTTTTTTGTTTCCTTCAGATATATATTCATAGCTCTGTAGATTACTGTTGTACAGTTATATAGTTCCTAGTTGACTCCAGTACTTTTCCCTGCACGGGTAGGCAGAAAGACAAAACATTCCAAAGGCTCCTATCCTATCTTACTTTTTCCTGGGAACCACGGACAAGTTACCCTCCCAGAACACTTTCTCATAAACAAAGTACAGCTAGTACCAAAGAGGGGATTACCTCATCACCTGTGTTTCTAATTGGAGATTCTTGTTAATTATGCTAATTTGCTAAACTTATAAAACTGTATTCGGCCTGTATGCAGGGGGCATTTTTCCCTATCTGCCCCTGGAGSCTTCCAATAAAGACCAATTTTGATATTACCTCCTATATTAATATTGYCTTGAAAGTGTGTTGTTTTATTTCTAGATCTTTAAGGTATCATGGGCACCACCTTGGCAGAAGGTGGGGAGGTCCATTCAACACAGCCAATATTCTAAAAAACAACTACCAGTATTTTTTCCACAGTATGCCAATTACCACGAGATAAGCTTTAAAAATTACTTTAAATATGTGTTTTCACGGTTTCTTAAGCTTCTGCTTTCTAAGGCTTGGTCGCATCCAGCCTTCAAAGTGCTTTTTTAATATCAAAATAAATCCCAAGATCCAGCAGTTAGAGCTTTAAAAGACAACAAGTATTATGATTCCCATGATAAAATTGTGAGAGCTGGCASCACTGTATCAGTTACTATGAAACCATTTGCTTTGTTTGCAATCACTTCTCTCCATATCCCCAAAATAATTGAATTCAACAGTGCTTGAAGAACGCTGCTCTTGTTTGAACCCTCATCTGAAGTGGAACACTCATCTTCTTTTACAGTCCACAGCTCTCCCTAACTTCTGGGAAATGAGTTAGTACACCTGAGTCTAGCCAAATCTGTAGCAGTTTGGTCAAAATAGAATCATTTGACTTCTTACTAAAGCCCAGTGAGATGTCATCATCTCTTTATCTTCCCAATCTAAGAAAAAATAGCTCTTTTATTAAAAATGTGAGTCTGAAATGAACTACCTCTGGGAAACCCACGCTGCATTTTGCTTCATTGTCTGCTTGCTTTCATATCTAATTAATTTTTCCTCCACAAACTGCTCCAAGTCTTGCATGCTATCTAGCTTGTGAGGAGTGTCTCCAATGGTATGTTTTCTTTTTCTTAATGAAAGGACTTTATTTTCCATTCTTTCACCATATTAGAGTCCTGCTAAACCACCACACACTCCACGTTCAGCACTAGCTGATTATTCAGCTTGCTCATTCTAAATACAAGAGATAAACAGAAAAGGAGCACAAAGATATTGAGMAGCCCCTCATTCCCCAGTGCTGACTCTCTCTTAACACTGGGAATGCATAACTGCATCCCTCATTCCCTTCACACAGGAAAATATTTTCCACTGTTAACCAGGAGCGACGTACGGGATGTTTTAGCCAGTGATCCTTGAACACGGGGCGCATCTTCTTGTGAACCACCACTTCCTGCAGGTCCTCAAGGGATGGGTGCTGACCTATTTCTTCTTCAAATGGCAGCATATACTCATCCACTGGACCTAAGGTGCACACAGAGAATCAGGTTAGGATAGAAATGGCCTCTGCAGAGCCACAGCCTCCCCATGCATGAGTGAGCTGCAGCTCCAGAGCAACCTCAACCCACTGCAACAAAGGCTGACRTTCACATGTCACTGCAGACAAATGTGATTTTCATTCCTCCTGCACAATGGTCTTTGCTGTCCCTGCTGCTTGTCTGGCCATGCATTTTCCACCTCGCTGAGTTACAAATCCGAACCCTCGGCCAGGCSTCTGGATCCCACCATTTCCTTGAGGAAGTTTGCCAGGTAGTCCATGAATGATTTTAATAGAAAGAGCAAATTAGCTCATCCTCCCCCCATTTTAACATAGCAATTCAAAACACAATAACCTAAAGAAAGGYTCCAGCATGACAATAATTTCATTTTAGCACTGACTAGCAAGGTCAGGCATATACAACACTTATAATTTCTTGCTTTGTGATCTGTCTTGTTTGTGGGTTTGAGTAAGCCCTGACACACTGGAGCCAGATGCACTTGTCCTAAGTACCAGCTCCTAAGTGTAAAATGATTTCTGAATGCTTTAGTTATACCAGTTCTGGCTGTGAAATGCCCAGGGCCATGGGAATGAGACAACTGTTATGAGTATCAGTGCAGATGCTGGATGATAGCAATAATTTCTGCTTATTGAAATATCATTTGGCTTTTGGCAACGCATAGATGCTCTCTCAGAAAGAGCAGCCCAGCTTAACTGATTGGGCTTTTCAGGGCACTCTGCAGCATCACTTAGAGTTTCTCAGTAGCAAAAAGTGACCTGTTTCCAGAGTGAGGATATTTCAAWAGGGTCTTTCCAGACTAAAATAGAGCTGACCACTTCATCTGGTCATGAATTGTAACACYAACAATGTGATTAGGTACTCTAAAGAATGAAATCACTAAACCAGCTTATCAATATTCTTATCTACTCAATGGCAGTCACTAAACCAAACTGAAACACTTGCTCCAATGGATGGCACAGAGTCACTTACAACTTTCCTTTTCCTCCAAGAGGAACYCAGGCTGTGAAAAGCTGCACTGGTGATCTCCAAGCTAAATCTGCTGTTTACACATCACTGCTGAGCTAGAAGAGCAGAAAAAGTTCTCTGTAACTCCCTGTCGTCCCAAAGGAAGCCTTCCCTCTGGTTCAGTGGCACTGTGTGGGGCACCTGCAGTACCTCAGCTGCCTAAACTGGCAGGAGGTCACAACCATGACAGGAAAAACRGAAGTGGATATTTGGGGCACCTCAACAGAGAAGGACAATCCTACATGAGTGATCTGTGTACCAGTGTTTTACTGTGCTGTGCTCCTAACTCCCTGCTCCTCCAGCATTTTACCTGGTTAGACTCTAAATTTTTGAAGAGACTACACACTTATTCAGGCATCCTAACTATAGTCACATTCCTCAGTCCTACTGTAATGCCAACAAAAAGTTTTGAACTCTAGGTGAGGTGCTRCTGTTTTATGAACTTGATATTCAGTTCAGAGTACCCATATCTATACAAGAAGAAAAAATTTGGAGGAAGCAGCCTTTGAGCTACTACAATAACATGACTGCTTCCCTGTCCAGGGGCAAGGTCTTGCACATGGCAAAGGTCACTAAAGGACAGATGTGTTGATTGGACAGAAAAGATACCCCACATTGCAGCACCATTTTAGGATAAAAAGCTGAGAAAGGAGACACCATGAAGTTCATGCTTTGAGATCCTTCATGAAAACGTGAGGTCTTCCAAAGCTGTAAATGAAACAACAAACCTAGGCCACTACTGAGAGAGGGCTTGATCAGCAAAAGTTAAAGATCGATAACTAATGATTTATGATAGCAGGGAAATGGGCTTGCTGACCCAGAAAGACCCTTCCAGCCCATGTTTCTGCTATTTCACTAAGGTGCTTTCCATTCAAGCTACCCCACTGCCCTGCGTAAGTGAGGTGACAGCCAAGCTGGCTGTGTGGCTCTCTCTGGGGCACAGTCTGCCCTGGTAAMAGGAAAGAAGGCAGGTGCCAGCACAGAGCAGGCTGAGGACTAAAGGAAACCCATCTTGGAGGGACAGGCTGCTCCTTCTCCCTCTGAGTTCTCAGCAATTTGCAAAGTAACCAACACAGTAAAAAGCACTTTGAGACTTGAGCACTCATCAAAGATTATTATCAGCAGAGAGTAACAGCTTATGTTAAAAAACAAATGAAAAACAGGTCACCTGCTTTTAATAAAAATATGCCAATTTTTTTTTTTTTTTAAACAGAGACAAATCCATTCTCTGGACCACTAAACCATACTGAAACAGAGCCCTTGCCAGGGAAGAGAGGATCTTTATTCTTACCATCAACTGCTCTACATCTGGAGACTAGCTCCCACAACACCAGTCCCATTGCATACATGTCTATCCTCAGGAAGGCGTCTCGTTGGAAGTTGATTGCTCCCTCTAGCACTTCGGGAGCCATGTACCTCCTTGTTCCCACCTACAGAGAGAAAACACGGCTCAAGTTACATTGCATTTGGGCCCCTCAGCCTCTGCTGGCTGGAGGTGAATGACAGCTGGTTACATTGGCCTGGAGGCCACTGCTGCTAAGGTGCACCTCGCTCRAAAAACAAGCAAAGGGGAGCTGCTCTTTCTGACACTGACTCTCATTAAGATCACTCGAGTCCAGGGAAGCCACCTGAAGGAGAAAGCCAAAGTGCAAGGCTACGTGTGTGATACTCATTCAGTGCACACTGCAGGTCTGCATCCCACTGCATGTTGCTCCAGCAGAGCACTCTGCATGAGAAAATGCTGGCTTTGGAGACACACAGAACACTCAGAGGTCCAGTCAGACCTCATTATACTAACTGTTGAAAGTTCAGTTCTCTCTCAGTCCCCACCTCCCCCCAAAAAAAACCACAAACAAATTAAAAAAAAAGACAAACAAACAAAAAAAAACCCACAAAAAAAACTCCAAACAAAAAAAAATACAACAAAAAACAGGGAAGATAAATAATTAAATATCCTGAAATGGTAGAAAAAGGTGTTGGTTTCATAGCCCTGGATAAAGCAAGTCTCCTTCATCCACAGGAGTAGTAAAACATGAACCCTGGCTTGCCATGGTTTGGAAAAGACTTCCTTTTATTYTGAGGGGATTCAATGCTCATTATAGTGTCTCCATTGTTGTGTTTACTACAGCTCATAGTGTAGGAGAACAGAGGAGACAGCAAGGGAAAAAGCACCTTTTTAACATGGGAATTGAAACACCTTTAATAATTTCCTTTAAGGAAATTCTCATCTGTTCATGCTGTTACCTGATGCAGTGGAGGCAGAGTGAAGTCAGGATGTGGAAAGAGGTGCAACGTACTGGGGAAGTCAAATAAAAGGTGACCAAAATGAGGAAAGTTGGGGAAGGCTAACACAAAATGTTCATTCCTTCTGGGATAAAGATAAAAAAGGAAGACTGCATTGGAAACAGGAATTCAGAAAACCCCGGAGGCACAAGGAGGGGATGACAGACTTGCTGTGCCCTGGCATGAGAGCAGAATGAGGGGCTGCTTGCTGCAACACGAAGGCAGAAAATAAGGAGCCTGTAAAATTGTAGTGTGTTGTTTACACAGTGCACGGCCAGCTGTGCCAAGGGTCACCCAAGCAGCCAGCCTGGCTGAATTCTTAAAATTAAATCAATCATTTTAGGATTATTAATATTTGTATTGTGGTATTCATATTAATATTTAGGAGTTTTAATAGTTGTGTTATGGCCAAGATAAGTGGTCTGTGCAATGGATGGGGACTGGCCAAGAGCTGACCTTCTCAAACTGGCAACCTGTCACAGGTGGGGTCCTCCAGGGATCAATGTTGGGCCTAACACTGTTTAAAATCTTCCTAAATGGTGTGGATGATSGGATCATGTGTATCCAGGTGAAGTTTGCTGACGATACTGAACTGAGCRGGGAAATGAACATTTTGGAAGGTGCAGCCACCCTTCAGGAAGAGTGGATAGGTGGAAAGAGGAGGCTGACAAGAGCTGTAAGAAGTTCCACAAGGACAAGTGTAAGGTATTGCACCTGGGAAAACACAGYCCAGAAGTGCAGCACAGGCTGGGATCCACCTGGCTGGGAAGCAGCTCTGTGGGAAGGGCCCTGGGGGGCTACAAGCTCTGCTGCACAGAGCCAGTGAGACACTGGGCTACACCAACAGCAGCACCACCAGCTGGGACAGAGGCCATTATCCTGCTCTACTTGAGCTTGTCAGGCCATGTCRTGATTATTGTGGGCAGTTTTGGCCCCTGCTATCCAAAAAGATTGTGGACAGGCAGGAGAGAATCCAAAGCAGAGCCAYAGAGATGATGAAAGGGCTGGGAAGGTGCTGGATGAGGAAAGGCTGAGAGAACTGGGTTTGTTCAGCCTTGAAAAAGAAGTCTGAGGGGAGACCTTATCACAGTGTTCCAGTACTAAAAAGGGGACTACAAAGAGCATTACAAGGAGTCACACAGAGAAGATAAGGGATGATGGGTACAGGTTACTCACAGGAGATTCTGTTTGGACACAAGAGGGAAGTTTTTCACAACGAGAATCCTCAGCCATTGGAACAGTCTCCCCAGGAAAGTGGCAGATACTCCAAAACTGAACACTTCTAAGTTTCAGCTGGACAGGGTGCTGGGCCATTTTTGCCTTGCTTTGGTCAAGAAAGGTTGGACCAGATRATCYTTGAGGTCCCTTCCAACATGGTTTTCTGTGATTCTGTGATTCCATGGGTATTTATTACCAAAACAATAGAGTCAACGAGCCCTGTGTCTGAAGGAGGAAACCCCCTGCCTCAGGTTTGGGGGGACCTCACCTGCACTGCAGTCAGAAGGGTTTGAGCATCCATCCACTCACCCAGACTAAAGCAGCTCCCAGAATTTATCTGAGCACAAGTTTTTATGGAAAAAATACATACCTCAAAGAGAATTAAATGCATCTACACAAACTAGCCCCCACTCAGAAGGAGCTATGGCAAGGCCAACTTTTAAAAAAGTTAAAGGTAATGATTACCTGTCCATGAGTGTCCCCTGGAGGTTTTCCAGGTTCAAACCGAACAGCCAGTCCAAAATCTGCAAGCACAGCCGTCAAGTCGTTCTTCAGCAAGACATTTTTACTCTTGAAGTCCCTATGGACAAGCCAAGAGGTAAGTTGGGGAATATCATGGCAAGAGTCTAAATCTCATTGCAGCACAGCACACTGTATGTCCCCAGGCTTAGCAGCTCCCAATAAATCAGCTCCTTTCTTTCTTTCTTTCTTCCCTGGCTTCCCAGCAGGGCCAGTGCTGACTAACTTGGCTGTTCCCTGCTGCCCTTKTCCCTAAAACACAATCAAGTAGCCCTGAGCTGACCAGCACAGAGTCAGCCAAATTCTATGGTGAATAGATCTCGAAATGAAATCTGATCTGAAGGAGCTATTTTAATTAGAGCAAGCTGTATATAAGCCACCATTTATTGCTCGAAGCACCACTCTGGACCCCCACCTCTGGGTCCTTCTCATTCCCAACAATAAAACCAAGGCAGGTTAAGGCAGTACATTGCTCTTTATCTTCGTAAGGATGTTTGCTCCTATCTACAAAATTAGATCTTTCTGGAAATCAGCAGATGCTARCGAGACTCTCTCCACCCTGGCTACATGCTTCAACAGACTTTTGCCATAGTCATCTATTAGCCTTCTGTTGTAATTGCTGGATTGATCTTCCCTGAGGAATTTGGAGGGTTGAAAAGCAAGCAGGGAAGGGGGTGAGGCCACGCTCAGACACGCTGTCAGGATCAGAGCAGGCAGCTCACAGGCAGGTGTAAGAATTTACAGCAGAGATGGTGGGTCTGTGCTTGAAGGGGACATTTGTGTCAGTCCAGTGCTGCAGCAGGATCATTTCAGGGCAGCTCAGGTAAATCTGCAGGGASTGGAAAGGGTGGGGGTTGGAGGAAGATCATACTGAGAGGCCTAACCAGTTGAGCCCTGCTCCCTGGGCTTCCTGCATTTTCATCTGAAAAGGAATGTTTGGCAATCTAATTAAATTACAGACCTTAGACAGCAGATGGCAATTGTCCTGTATGCTCAGCATTATAATTTCCCTATCATCAATTCACTCGGTGACCCTGCTGATTGCAGGACACTGCAGGCCTGCACAAAATAATTAATGAGGGCAGATACGATTGTTCTGCACTAGAGAGACCTGTCAAAATTCTTTGTGAAGAGAGAAACTGCTGGACCATAGAGAAGGGGCTGCTCTCTGCAGCCTCGGATGCCAGAGCATCAGCTCAAAGCAAAAATCACCCTATGCCACCCAGCCCCTGATTCTGAGCTTAAAATATCAGAAGAGAGGATTTATCCTTTCTAAGCTAAACACAGCATGATGGGCATTTCTGGCTGGGGGATTAAGATGGGGGAAGTGGGTGTGAAGTTGGAGGGCACCACATAGCCAGTGAACCCCAGCAGAAACCAGCATCCATCACCTCTAGGGACTCAGCACAGTTTTGCAGAGCCTCCCAAAYACTGGTACCCCTCCAGAAAAACTGCATTTACCACTACCTGTCATCTTAGAAAGTGCCTGCCTCCATGCTACAGCAGTTTCCTGGACACAGGCTTAGGAAACAGCCATCATCTAATGACATGGATAAACGCCTTTGCTCGCTCAGCATTAGGGGATTATGCCCTCAGGATGGCACAGATTGTGCACGAGATTTTTGCAAAGCAGTGGCTCAGTGAGCACCACACAGAAATTATCAGACAATCTGCCTGAATGATGTGGTTCCAAGGTGAAACAAGATGTAAACCAGCATTACTGAACAGGCACATGCTGCTCTTGCTCACCTGCAGTGCCTTTCAGGCATGCAACAGTTAATTCAAACATCTTGGTAGAGGATGCAGGGATTTCCCTTTGCAATTCCATTTTCCCCCCTATCTCCATATATTCCCCCATTTTGCCATGCTTTCTTTCCTTTCTTCCTTCCTTCCTTCCATAAACCACCTTGAACTGGCAAGTCTGAGCTGCAGTGAAAATGTATCCGGGCCAGGGAGAAGGACCTAATTAATCCAAGCCACACAAAGTAGAATTCCCATAACATCACATGCATTAGACCATCTTAAAATGGTGGCAGATAAACAGAAGTAGCATGAAAACAAGAAAACTATTTTTTTTTCATATAGCACTTCAAACTAGGGARTACAGAGCAAGCAGACTATGAGTAACGGGTGAGTTAATTCGATTGAGACACCAGAGATTTTATTTTCAGCTTCCACGTGGGGGCACTTTTGCACCAACAAGTGATTCCATAACCTTAATCCTCCTTGTAGTGCCGGGGGCCCAGAGGAGTTGGCTGAACCCCTGCCCAGCAGTGACTGGGAAATTCCACCTGGCAACCCCAGCATCTCCATCCTGTGCACTSTGGGAAGCCATTCAAAAACACCCCTCAACGCCCCCCTCCTCAGATTTAAAATGCATTTAGTGTTTTCTTTTAGAAATAAAATTAAAAGGAATGGGGTAATCCGAGGGAAATCCCTTGTGTCCTGAAATCCCTCCTCCACTAGGTATGTGCTAAATTCACACAAATGCTGCATTCTCCAGCTTTTGTCACTTGCTAAATGGACAGGGACACTAATGAGCACGATCTGTTGCTTTCAAGCCTTTCTATAGCCTTCCTCTGTTCCCCACCCTCAGGAATTTTCATCTATAAACCACTGCCTTTATTCCACGGGGACAAATGTCAGGGACACAGGGGTCAGCTCCAGGAGCAGCACAAAGGCAGCTGCAGGTTCTTTCAACAGTTCCCAGCTCTCCAGAACTTTAAGGTTTGGGGAGGTGGGGTGTTTTGGGGGCAGGGACACCCTTGCAAAARCAGGGATTATTTTGCCATACAGGCCCGCTAGGTCGGGTACAAATTGCTGCAGCTGGACGTGGGGTTTAAGTCTCTCCTCGATGAAATGCGGTGGGTGGTGGGGGAGTATGGCCACAGATTACAGCCTGTAAATCCCTTCTGGAAATCTCCCCCATCCTGTCCTGCCACCAGCAAACCACTCAGCAGAGATGCTTTAGTCCAGGACCAGTAGTGTGGGACTTCAGAGAGGAGCTAAAGCACCAAGGGTTTAACCCACTGCTTTCTGCTTTCCTGCTGTCCCCACTGTGCTGCCACCCTGTGTGCCAGGAGCTCTCAGTGGCAGGGTGRCACCTGCTCCAGGGTCTCTCATAAGAACCCTGGCACAATTTGGGCCTAATAAAGCTGCAGAGAAAAATAGCAGCCATTTTCTGTGTTTCCAGTTTCTCCATTTTTTACCTAATGATCAAAAACTTTGTGGGAAGACAAGCAGTGRAGTTCTCAGTCTAAAACAGGGAAAAATAGGGTCCAGCTCCTGGCGCAGCCATAGAAGTACACGGATTGTAATGTGATGATATTGTCAAGCAAAGTGCTTTCGAAGAGCAGTTCTGCAGCAGCCAGTACTCCCTTCCCACCACAGGAGAAGAGTTGATAGATGAGGCAAGCACCTACCCTTCAGATATTCCCCATCAACCATTACCAACCATGCCATTTCACAGGCAAGATGCTAAACTTGCCATTCACCCTTTTCTACATAGTAGAAAAAAATTCTTGTTTTAGCACAGGATTTACTGGGTAAAAAGCCTTTTACTTCCTAAAAGCACAACCTCCTACTCCACTCAACAGCACCATTTCAAAGATGGTGTCAATGAAAGAGGCTTTACCTGTGTGCTATGGCAGGTTTGTGTCCTTCACCTTTGCACCAGGGGACATCTTCATGAAGGTAGGACAAGCCACGGGCCATTGTTTCTGCGACATGGCAAAGCTCATTCCAGCTGATAATGTTGCCCTTCAGGTAATCTGTCAGAGAACCCTGCAGAATGGGACATTGTCAGTTCTTACTCACAGACCCCTCTACATGACAGATGTGCCAAGTCATCAGTTTAGAGAATGGTTTAGAGAGTGCTTGAGAAATCAGAGCCTTGATTTAACAGGGGGGAGAAAAAAATCACTAGTGAAAGTAAAAAGAAGAAACAAAAAGCAGAGGCATTCATGAGTTTTCAGCCCTTGACAGCACAGACCTTCTGATGTCTACTTATCTGCCAGGGAGGGGATGGGATGTAAGGCAGGGAAAAAATCATCTTTAACAAGAACAATTCAAGATGATGCATGGTATCAGCTGGCTGTGGCAATGATTGACTCAGAAGACCTTGGATTTACCAGGGGGATAACACTGCTGGCTCAACCCCAGATCTGCACTTTTGTTTGAGGTGTTAATCATGCTTTATAACTAGAGCAAACCCAGAAACGGGAGATGGGCTCCAAGCCTTAAAAGCAAACATGGAGCCCATCTGCAAGGGGCAAGTTGGGTCTGTGAAACCTGTCTGCCATGACGCTCATCTACACACATCAGGAGATGGTGACCACCATGGATGTGAGCTGTAGCTTTTTCTGCCCCTCTCTCTTCCCAGGTCCTGCCTTTATTAATCCTTTGTTTGTGCAGGAAAGCCTTGAACRTTAAAGGAAAGGCCTTTGAAGCAGGGTAGCACTGTGCTACCACAGAGTCATGGCCCACCAGGAACAGACAGGATAGATTACAGGGATTACAATCCTGCTGTACCACAACCAGCTGCCTCTCTGCCTTCCCAAAATGTGCTTGCAGTGATACATTACCTTGTCGTGGAAAGCTGTGATCAGCCAGAGCTCTGTCTCCAGGTTTGTCCCCCTTTTCTCTGCTGCGATAAATTGCAAAAGGTTTTCATGCTTCATGCCAGGAGTGTTGAAAATCTCCCTCTCACTCTGCCAAGATTGCTTATCCTGAAGCAGAGAGAAATGCACCATCAAAGACCACGCTTCCCTTTAAAGCAAACAGCTCCTTCAGTTCAGTCAGAGCTGCTCACACCATTCTAAAAAACATGCTCCAGTGTTAGGATGTGATGTATCCCTTCAAAATGGGGCTGTTTCCCTAAAGAAGAAACACTGGAAGTCTCTGTCCTCAGTCTCCCCTCTCCAAAATTATCCTCAGCTATTCCTAAAGGACGTGTGTGGGGAGCGCAGAGGAAGCCAAACTCAGCCTTGCTGAGAAATAAGATTTGTCAAGATTTCCTAAGGATAGCTGCAAGAATAAAGCCTGTGCATACGGCACCCAGATCAGCCTTGTGGCTGTAATTGTTGCAATTGCAAAATCTAATCCAGGCTTTATTGAATATTTACTAGTAGGTCACAGCTGGCTTGGACAGAAGATGTGCAGATCTCCTTTAGCAACACTATGACAACAAATACRAAGTGAAAACGTAATGAAGGAGATAGCAGAGGAGCATAAAGGTATTTTAGTTCATTCTGCTTTCACTTGACTTCTGATTGCTTTACTCTTCTCATCTGCAATTCCTAGAGAATCAAGTCAGGAGTGTTCAAAGGTTTCCTAGAGCAGAAGACAGGAGCTGACAGAAAGGCTGCAGTGCAATTTGCTTCCACAGCGCCGGGGCTGTGCCTTTGGAGGCTGTAAACTGCTCACTAGGTTTGGATCCAGATTTACAATCCACCCAGGCAGGACACARAGCCGGGGCTCTGGCCCTTTGTGTGCGCTCTGGGCACCACAGCTGYGCCCTGCCTTGCTGGATTTAAACAACACAGGCATTTGCAGGAGAGTTAAAATACCCTGTAGATTTCAGAATGTGCTTGTTTTTGCCCTTCTTGCAACAAGTGCTGCTACAGGAAGCATTTGGTAATGAGATAACGCAGCGAGAAGTGTAGGAAGGAAGGGTCCTTGAACTTTTTCCCCCAGCAGAAGAGCCCAAATGCATCTTTGTTATGGTYTTAAAAACCATAATCTCCATAAGCACTTAGAGCATCTCAGCGCTGATGAGGAAGCCTCTGGCAAGTAAGAACTTAATGCAGTGTCCCTCTCACCTGAATAGGGAAGATTTTCACTGCTACGTAGTCGTTCATCAGCTGGGCCTTCCACACACAGCCAAAGCGTCCCCTCGCCTTGATCTCCAAAAGCTGCAGTGGCTTTAGGCCAACCAGGGGAGAAGGGGGTGGTGGGCCAGGGTCCTGCACAAGAGAAAAACACCATCACCAGCTGAAGCTGGACTGTAAAATAAAGGGAGGGGAAGAATGGAGAGACTGCACGTGTGGAAAGAAATGTAAAGAAGTGACATTTTATTTAATAGAAATTATTTAGATACACTGTTTGCAGTAYGAATAGACCGAAATTCCCTATCTTGCTTGCTCTGTAGGGTATTGGCATAGAACACATATAACAATCTACACCTCCAAGTGTCACTTTGTCACACTGCTGCCTGCCATGCTCTGGGCAAAACCTGAATTCTCCTATGTTTTCAAAGCAAAAGTTATTTTGGGCTTTAAAGCACCGATGTTCTCAAGGCTACCTCCTGCCAAAAGTGGGAACCTTTTGATCCTTGTGACCTGACAGCCAACTACACCTAAATCCTCCCTCTGGTCTGCGTTGCATTAGCATGTTCCACATCACCCCAGCAATGGGCAGTGAACAGGTCTGTCAGTGTCATACAGATCACATCTGTTTAAATTCTGCATTCCTCCAGGAGAACAACTTCATGCAGGATATGGGGATTGGAGCTCTGTCCTACCTGCTTTCAGATAGGAAAGGTTCACAATATCACTAAATGGTTTGGGTTGGAAGGGAACCCTAAAGATCATCCAGTTCCAACCCCTACCACAGGCAGGGACATCTTCCATTAGATCAGGTTGCTCAGAGCCCCATCCAGCCTGGACTGGAACACCTCCAGGGAGGGGCAGTCACAGTTTTCCCTGGGCAAGCTATTCCAGTGCCTCACCACCCTCACAGGGAAGAATTTTTTCCTAGTATCTAAACTAAACTTGTTATCTTTCAATTCTAACCCCCTCCCACTTGTTCTGTCACCACATGCTCCTGTAAAAAGTCCATCTCCATCTTTCTTGTGGGCTGCATTCAGGCATGGAAGGTTGCAATGAAGTCACCCCAAAGCCTCCTGTATCCATTCTCTGAGGGTTCATAAAAACTGAACTTCATCAGGGAAAACATTTTCCCCCCTCCCATAAAGCTAGTAGGAACTTCATCATCTCTCACAATCTCTGATGCTCTAAAAAGTTGTCTGAAATCAGGTTTAGAGTTTGGGAAGAAGGGCAGACACAAGGCCAGGCTGTCTAATCCCCTCCYTCAGGCATCTCGGACATGGTGGCAACCTCACCTAAACCCATCAGTCTGACACTTCCACAGAAGCCAGCTGTACCACCAACTTCAAAAAACAGAAAAGAAAATTTAGGCCACCTGAGAAGAGTGAAGCAAAGTAGATGTGAACAGATACCGGAGCAACCTCTGKGCCTTTTGTAAAACCCAAAGAAAGGGGAGAAGCTGCCTCACCTCAATGATGTCCACGTGGCCGTAGGGAGGCTTCCGGTGCCGGTACATCCAGAAGGCCAGGAGGATGGCCATGGACAGCACTGCGATGGGCAGCAGGGAATACACCAGGATGTTGAGCAGGGAGGGYGTGGGCGGCGGCGGCTCGTATATGACTGTGAGGAAAGAGCAGGGTAAACGAGGGAAAAGGACACCTTCAGGTCCTGCACATCCAGAGGCCAGCAAACCCCATCCTTCCCTCCACTGCAAAGCTGACAATGCTGGCTGACGTGTCCCGTCTCACCCAACACTATTCATGAGGCTCCATGGTTCTCTCTTCTCCACAGAAGTAATGGAGAGTWAGTAATGGAGTTACTAATGGAGTTACAATGGCCCAAACTGCACTTTGCAAGCTGAGCCTCCATMTGACCTTTATTTAAGATAGATGTTTCTTGCTGGGATACATAAAAGCAGAACATTTCCTCCTCTTAACCCTTCCAAATGTATTAAGAGAGCACAAAATCCCTTGCAGCGTTGCTTTACCTTTCACAGTGATTGACAAGTTGTCAGTTTTTAGTAAAATGSTGCCGGAGCCACAATCAAATGCACTATTCCCACAGTAGTTCTTGTTCCAAATTACATCAGTGCAGTTGAGACACAAACAATGGGAATACTAAATGGAGCCATGTTGCTATGTTGGAGACAGGGAAGGAAAAAATAGCAAGACTTGCCAAATTAAACAAAAAAACTGTGAGAGAGAGAATATTTGCTACTAGGTTGCTACGGGTACGTTAATAACAGGAGATAATATAACCCATGTAAACAATTAAAAACCTATCAGGAAAGCCCAGGAAAATCTGATAAAGGTCTATTGGAACATCTCAGTAAATGCAGGTAGTTCAAACCAACCTAAGGAAAAAATTCACCTGCTTTAATAGTTTTTATTGAATGATACTTTTGAAAGTATACAGCTAAAAGAATCCTCATTTTTCTATCAGGCTCTGAAGAAGGTCCTGCTACTGCTTTTCTTCTTTGATGCATATCCACAGACTCTGAAAGCTGCCATGCACGCTTTCCCTTTCAATCCCCAGACAAACAAAACAGAGTCAAATGCAAAAATCCCAGATGCTCGAGGTATCTGGAGACTTGTGACCTATGAAATTAATGAGGAAGGTGTTTTTAAAAACCTTTCAAAAGTCTGAGGCTCAATCCATGCTGTCTAAATCACTCTGCCCTCTTTCCCTTGTGTGGGATTTTGTTTTGCAATATCCCACRGTGAACTCTCCATCATAAAGAAAATCTAATCCTTGCTGGTGGTCTCCAGTGGTACAACATGCTTTAGCCACAGAGTGAAACAACCTTAAAAACTATTCTTAAAGAACAGTACCAAAAGGATTTCTGACTTTGTAACCAAAACATCCAACAATTCAATGTTGTCATGAGGCTGAATCAGAGGAGGTTTAAGACAAATATTAGGAAATGTTCTTCACCCAAAGGGTGGTTGGGCCCTGGAACAGGGTAGTGGTCACAGCAGCAAGCCTGACAGAACTCGAGGAGCAAAGACAAGAGAACTCAAGGACAACACTCCCAAGCACAGGGTGTGAATCTTGGTGTTTTCCTGTGCAGAGCCAGGAGCTGGACTCCACGATCCTTGTGAGGCCTTTTCAACCCAGGACATTCTATGAATTCTATGAAAGTCATTGGAAACTGGATCTGGAGGAACAGACACCAACTCCCCACCCTCCCAGTCACTCACCTTCTGGGCCGGTGACTTCAGGCAAATGGGTAAATTTCTCRTTGCAATAGTTGCCCTCGCAGCAGCAGAAAAACACCTGTGGGTTTTCTTCTGTGGCTACACACTCCTGCCTGCAGCAGGGAGAGACAGACACGGAATGAAGGGGAGAGAAAAACATCGTCAGCCAACTCCTGCTCCACTCCTGGGAGCTAACCTGTCCCAAGTTTTCTCCACACACCTTCTCCTGCAGCTGTGCTGCACAGTTCAGCAGTCTCCACTCACAGAAAACAACTTGGCACTCAAATACCCCAGTGGATAGCCCAGACCCTTGAAAAGACTGTAAAGGAAACAAATGCTTCCATATGTACTGAGGGCATTAGATGGTGAGTAATAAATAACAGCCGCCGCTGCTAACGGAATGAGAAGGAGAAAAACRACAGCGAGACGCCTCAGTCCCTGAGCAGCGACTTTCCCACAGCCCATATGAACACTGCCAGGGCTGAGGAGTRTTTGATAATGCAATTAAAGATTGTGCCATAAAGCACACATGACGAGGGCTGAGCTAAGGCTGCTCCCACAGCCTGGAGCATCACCAGCTCTGCACACATGAAGGGCACCAGACAGCAGCAGCAACAGCCCTGCTACAGCAGGAGAAGGCTGCAGGTCCGAGGGCAGGTAGTGATAGTTCAGGGAAATGGTTTATGCTGAAAGAGGGCAGGTTTAGATTCGATATTCTTTATTGTGAGGTGTCAAGGCTCTGGAACAGGTTGTCTGGAGAAGCTGTGGATGCCCCATCCCTGGAAGTGCTTCAAGCTTAGGTTGAATGGGACTTGTATCATCCTTGGTCCTGTGAAAGTTGTCCCTTCCCATGGCAGTGGGTTGGAACTCGATGATCTTTGAAAGTCCCTTCCAACCCT